CCCCAGCTGAGCTGCTGTCCCAGCCCAGACAGCTCTGAGGTGTACAGGATTAGCCCCAAATCTGGAGTCCTCCAAATACCCCAGCATCACAAATGTAAAAGAACAAAACTTTAGATTCTCAATATTCTCAGAGTTAAGGGATGGGAGACAAAGTCACAGGAGAGGGATGGTGCCCCAGAGAGGAAAGGATAGGAGTCAGTGAATACTCTGAGGAGCACCTGAGCACTCCTCCTTCCCCCTGGATGATTCAGGGTGGCATGCTCAGGGTGACATGTGGAAGTGGGAGGCCAGCCAGCAGGGCCCCAGGACTCTGAGCTCCCAGCCTATGGGATTTCTCTACCCACATATGGCCCAGAGATGGCAGAGCCCCTGCAGGTCAAGAGACCAGGAAGGCTGGGACAGTGACTCTCAAGTACACAGTGTGGGCCACACACCAGAAGGACCTCCCAGTGCTTTGCCCCTGGCAGGATCCTGGGAAGGGGCTGGACAAGGAGCTTTAAGGGGCTGAGGTCAAATATGCTGCCTCCAGGAGGGATGAGGGGCAGATACGGTTTAAATTAAACAGAGTTGTGACGCTTTATGAACACCTGAATTTGTAGATACAATTCATACTCACCACACACACACATCCAGAACTCCTTCACACACCAGACACACACAGAGAAACCCTAAGCACACAGTCTGATGTTCCCAGACACCACACATATCCAGAAAACCACAACCTAGCATCCCAGATGCACAGACACAAACATGCAGAAGCACCCCCACCCAGAAACAACCTGGAGATGTATACATGGATCCCCAAACACGCAACCCAAGACCCACATGCTCTACCCAGAGCTGTCCAACACCCATACCTGGGACAGGATGGGCAGTTACTGCATCCCTTGGAAGCACTGGGTATGGGTACCATCAGGCCCAGGCAGGCAGAATGCAGTGGCTACGGAGAGTGCCCCTCCAGGCAAGGGCTCATACCCTGCTGGGCCTGCCTGGTCCCCTGCCGCCCAATGCTGGGATCTAATGAGGACCAGTCCCAGCTCCCAGGCCTTGCCCTCTGCCTTAGAGGTAGGGACTGGGAGATGTAAAGTCTGTGTGAATTCCACATGGAAGGCTGAGGAGCTGAGGGGCTGGGTTTAAGAGGAGTTAAGGATGCTGGAAAAACTTCCAGTCCTGCTTCCAAGTCTGTCACTTGAGGCAGCTCAGATAGCCCGGGGGCATGTGACGGGCCTGCTGCTTAGAAGGGCTCCCCTATGTCACTAAGCAGGAGCTTCCAGCCTGGGGCCAGCACATGTAGGTGGCAGGAAATGCTTGTTGAATGAATGTGTGAGGTGGTGGAGTAAGGCCTGGAGATGTCTGCCAGGTGGCATCTCCAAATCCCAGGTGGCATGTTCTTTGCACAGCCTCTTCCTGGGCCCTGGGTCAGCCAGGCTGGGGAGGGGAGGTGCTGTTTCTGTCCTGGGGCCTTGAGGCTTCGCCACTATCATATCCAGCTTAGATGCACAGGGTTGGTTGACAAAATTGTGCTCAACTCAGTGCTAGGTTTCTAACACCCAGTGCAGGCCCAGGCACTTGGGGACCTCTGGGTTCATGAGATCCTCACAATGGATGCTGAAGGTGCTGGTAGGCCTGGATTCCTGAGCTCTGAGCCCTTGTTTCTGGAGCCTACTGGTCCCCCATGCCCTGACAACAGAGGGCTACTCCAGCTTGCTCTCTCTCTATCCTGAGTCCCGGGTCAGGAAGGCCTTCCTCCTCGAAACAGAATGCCTGCCCACTCTCCCTTCAGCCCTGAGCCTGGCCCACTTTCCAGGGCACCCCTCTGGCTGCTGCTAATGCACTCCTGGGCCGAGCTACCATGCTGGGCCCTGGTGGGGCTGGAGGGGACTACGAACAGCACCTTTCACGTGCAACACACACACACACACACACACACACACTAGGGTGTGCACACACATGCATACACACAAGTTCTCCTGCCCTGTGCCTCGGCCCAGCCAATGAGGACACAGAGCCTGCTGGAGTTTTAAAACTCTGTTTGGGCCCAGCTCTGTAGGCCTCCACAATCATTCCAGCAGGTCTGGGGACTTGTCCCGACCCACCCCGGTGAGCAGCTGGCCAGAGGCTGAAGTCCGCATCGGCGGTCCCTGTCCAGGGATCACTTCCTGTAGTCTTCTTCTCCAGCCTGCAGTGTATGACAGGGGGGTGGCTGGGCTGTCAGCCTCTGCCTCTCCAATGCTGATGGGACTGTTACTTGGGGCCACTGCTGGGCGTAGCCCCCCTGCCACGCCTTCCAGCATCCCCCCATCCCACCCCCTCCCTTCTGGTCCTGCCTGTTCACCTCAAACGCCGCGTCCACAATCTCATCAGTGACCGATGCCTGGGAGCGGAACTTCTGTTGATAATGCTCCACCCCGGCAGCGAGCTGCAGGAAATGGAACAGGAGCTTCTGCTGACT